TGGGTGTTGCTGGCGGGCCTAGGAAGAGGGTTCAGGAGGCGTTCCCCATTGTCAGAACGGGTGCATGTTGAGGGGAGCAGTCAAAATGAAAATTCAGGGCCCCTGGTTTGAGACAGACGCAGTGAGTGAGCAGTAACCCTAGCACGAGGCCCTTCTGGGCCCCATGTGACCACCCGGGCCATGCAACCGTGAGTGATGTGGGTGGATGTGCGGGGAGGAGGGCAGGGGGTGCGCAGGCTGCGCCTCTTTGGGGAATGGAAAACACAAAGTCAGAGAGCTGCACACAGGAGGAGGCCGTTCCCATACACATTATTTAAAGGGCACACAAAACAATGCCACAGATTGACCGTACCCATAAATACATCTGGAAAACCAGGCTAGGACCAGCCCCTCTCCCCGCCGGCTGGCTCTGGTCAGAAGGTGTGGCAGAATTCAGCTGTATCTGTAACATTTTATTTCTTAAAAAAAAAAAAAAGAAAGAAAGAAAGAAAAGAGATTAGCAGCATGTGACAAAATCTTCACGTTTCTTTCTGGGTAATATTCAGTTCTGGGTAGTGGTAGTCGAAGGCGATTTCGTTCTCTGAAGTTTTCTGTATTTTTTTTTTTTTTTAAAGTCGGTTTCACTGCTTTAAACAGCTCGAAAGCCGTTCTTTGCTAACATCCTGTGAGTAAGGGGCCCTGGAAACGTGATGTTCACTGAGCACTTGTTCTGTGCCTGGCACAGGGCTGGGGTCTAGGGAAATAAAACCGAGCGTTTTCCCCTCCAGGGGCCCATCGTCCCCCAGCAAAGGGGACGGAAAACAGGCCCGCAGGTCCTGGGCCAGGACCCCCGTGAAAGGACCCCCACTCTGGCGTGGGGCTGCAGGATCTCAGGTGCTTTCTTCCTCCTGCTGGAGGACGGCTGGAGCCTTGCAGGAGTCTGCTGGCCGGCGCCGAGGGCTGTCATGTCAGGCTGGCATCGGCAGATACATCCACGCAAGTCGCAGGTGGAGGGGAGTCCCCAGCGCTGCCCCAGCCACCACTAAGCCCCTTAAACGAACACTGAGAGGTGTCGCCCTGAATTTTCAGCAGCCTCGGCTGGCAGGCCCTGGGGTCTGCGGTGGGCTGTGGGTGTGGCAGCACCTCAGCTGGAACTCTCGGCCCTACCCGGAGCAGCAGCAGCCTCTTTGGCAGTATTGGGGAGGATGACACCAGGCTCCCCGCAGCCCACGGCTTAGTCCTGCAAGAGCCTTGGCTGGTGGTCACTGCTGGGCAAGCCGTCCGGGCCGCTCCTCTATCCCAGGGTCACCCTCTCTTCGTTTCGGTCTCCTTTAACTTTTTATTTTGAAATAACTTAAGATGTACAGAAAACGTGCAAAGATAATATGCATTCCCATGTCCCCTTCGTCCAGCTTCCCCTACCACCACTACTTTATGTGATGGTAGAATTAGCAGAACTAAGGCAGTCCCCTGACGCCATACCGTTGACTACACTGTAGACTTTATTTGGATGTCCCCTCAATGTCCTTTTGCCGTTGCAGGGCCGATATGGCATTTGGTCGCCTTGTCCCCTCGTCCCCTGCAGCCCGGGGAGAGCCTCGCTCTTTCCTGATCTTGCCGTGTGCAGAGTATCAGGCAGGTACTTTGTAGATTGTGCTTCGACGTGGCTTGTCTGATGTCGTCTCACGTTTTAAAATGCGAACTTTTGAAGTGTGTAATTCTGTGGCTTTTAATGTGCACACAGAGCTGTGCAGCCATCGCCACGGTCTAATCCCAGACATCTGCATCACCCCGAAAGGAAGCCCGTGCCCCTTCTCCCTTTCTGTCACCCCGTGACCCCTCCTGCTCCTTTTCTCTTCCCCATCCCTCTCTCTCTCTCTCTCTCTGTCTCTCTCTCTGTCTCTCTCTCTCTCTCTCTCTCTCTCTCTCTCTCTCTCTCTCTCTCTCTCTCTCTCTCTCTCTCTCTCTCTCTCTCTCTCTCTCTCTCTCTCTCTCTCTCTCTCTCTCTCTCTCTCTCTCTCTCTCTCTCTCTCTCTCTCTCTCTCTCTCTCTCTCTCTCTCTCTCTCTCTCTCTCTCTCTCTCTCTCTCTCTCTCTCTCTCTCTCTCTCTCTCTCTCTCTCTCTCTCGCTCTCCGTGATTCCGTTTGTTTTTCTTTCGGTTTCTCTTCGTGTCTCTGCCCCTGAGCCTCTCTCTCTGACGCCTTCGGCTCGCGCCCTGTCTCTCTCTCCACCCAGCTCTCCGTCTATTGTCTCCTTTCTCCCTCTGTTTTGCTCCCCGCCCGTGTGTGCATCTGTCTCCCTCCTTTGTTGCAAAGGGGACACAGGCGAAATCCAAGAAAACAAAGGAACAAGCCACGCTAAGGCGCACTGGCGGTTCGGAGGCCGACGGGGTTGGGGCAGAGAACGTCTGAGGGCTCCGGCGAGACGAGGCAGCCACGGGAACCCCCTGAGGAAGGGACGGTGACACCAAACCTACAGGAAGGAATGCGGCCGGCCCTGGAGGAGCCGCTGGGAGACGTCCGGGCAGCGGGAGCGCAGGCGTGGGAGCAGGGAGGAATTCCCACGGCCTCGCCAGCGAGTGATGGAAGCTACACAGAGGTCCCCTACACGCCTGACTCACTTAGGGGGAACCCCGCGCTATGTTCGCAGGCTCTGAGGCAGGAGCGCCAGCCAGCTCGGGGCAAGGCTTGTGGTGACAAAGAGATAATCATCGCAGAGAAACTTCCAGAGCCCTCCGTGGGTGGCCAGGCCACGTGCTCAGCCCAGGGGACTCCGAGCTGGACATGGCCCACCTCTGCCGCGGAAGGAGCCTGCGGGGGAAAAAGCACAACCCAGGCTCAAAAGAAGTTTTTTTATTGGTTTATTCAATTATTTACTCCAGAAACACTTATCGAATGCCTGCTGCATCCCCAAATCACAGACAGACGTGGGCAGTGGCCCCGACCTCCCAGGGCTCAGAGTCTAGAAAGAGAAGCAGCCCACCCACTCCCCACGACCACGCAGTGGGGGAAGCTCGAGCTCAGGTGGTCATTCCCTCACCCGGCACGCAGCTGATGGCGCCCACTGCACGGTGGCCGAAACACAGGCGACCCCCAAGGGGATGGCCCTGTTCGCAGCAGTTTCTAGAGCAGAATGACGCGGGGTCGAGTCCCAGCTGGGTGTTAGCTGAGTGGCCATAAGCACATCACTCACCGTCTCTGAATCTCAGCTTCCTCCCCTGTACAGTGGGCTTCTGTGCCAGCCGAATGGAAAATGAGGCCCCGACATTCGATGAGCCCTCCTTGACCCAAGCTGAGTTTATTAGCTTCGTGACTGTTGTTTTCCCCAGCTTCTGGGAGGGCCGGCTGGGTCAGGAAGATCCCAGGCAGACTGGGGACCAACCAGGCATCCACTCCCAGGGGTGCAGTGTATGCAGCTGGGGGAGTGGGTGGCCTGTGCAACAGCTGGATTTGGGCTGTGTCCTTACATCACTGAGGGCAGGAGTCCAACATCTTGACTGAGCCTCATTTGTGAGGCAAATGGCTGGCAGTGGCTGTGGGCCAGGGCACACGGTCCCCAGCCAGGGCCCCGAGCTTTCCGAACAGAGCAGAGCCTGCGGAGGGGCGGAAGGGGGGTCCTCCCATCCGCCTCCTTGCACCTGGGCCTCTGTGGCCATTTGTCAGCTCCAGACACAGCGTGACTCAAATGGGTCGTCAGCTTGGGGTGGCGGGAATCCAGGTGTCCGTCTGCAGGGCTGAGACACTTACTAGAGGATCTGGGAAGCCTCAGCTTCCACTCTCATGCAGATTGTGGCTGATTTCAGTTCCTTGTGGCTGTCGGACTGCGGTCCCCATCCCCTGCTGACTCCCAGAGGCGGCCCACCTTCTCATGTTTTCCACATGGCCCCCTCCTGCAACAGCGGGTCAGGCACCTCTCACTCTTTGAATCCTCCAACTTCCCCTTCTGCTGCCTGTGTCTCCAGCTGGAGGAAGTTCTCTGCTTTTAATGGCTCATGCTGACCCACCAGAATAATCCAGAAGACTCTCCCTAACCTTAACCACATCTGCAAAGTGCCTTTTGCCATGTGACCTAACATATTCTCAGGTTCCAGGAATGAGGACATAAATGTCTCGAGGGGTGAGAGCATCCTGTCCACCACGGCAGTCTGACTTGAGTTTTCTGTCATTTGCAAAGGAAAGACTCTTGACTGATTTGAGAACGGTTGGTTGGACATGATTGGCTCAACGAAGCTGAAAACTGTTGGCTTCACAGAGAATCTGCAATCTGCCTTGATTCACTTTGTGGAGTGCTGTGCAGGGGGGCACCAGCTGATTTTTCTGAGTCTCCGGAAAACTCTCCCCCAGGCCAGCCTCACAGGACTGTCCCCTGCCCTACGGCCACCATTGCTAAACCTGTGCACCAACAAGGGGAGCATGCTTTGCTGGGACGCCGAGTAAATAAACTGATTTATACCGCAGCCCCACAGGGTGGCCACTTGGCTCTGAGACAAATATGGTCAAAACTGAATTCTGCGGCCCGCAGAGGAGATCCAGGAGGAGCCCGGAGGGAGGTGTCCCCCCTCCACGCTCCCACGGGCGTCTGATGATCCCAGAAGGCTCGGACGAGGAGGGAGGTCACCCGGTCGCCCACTTCTGCTTGTCCCCCTGCTCCATCGAGGCAGCCCCCTCCTTTCTCCGGGGCCTGGACTCCTGCGAGCCCTTCCCAGGTCAGCTCCTGGCTGGGGTCCCAAGCCTGTGGCCAGGGCACCCGTCTCCCCCTTCCCGTGCATCCAATCATGAAGACGCACCCCATCTTTTCCATTAAACACCTCCTCAGCCTGAAGATCTCCCCGGTTCAATCCTTTAGCACCCCTATGCTCAGCAAAGCGTTATAAGTCCCCCTGCTATGTGCCTGGCACTGGGCACAGTGGCTGGGTACCGTCAAGGATGGGTCTGACACGCTCCCGTCCCCTCCCACCTCAGGTCAAGGATGGGAGGCAGATGCTAACGAGCAAAAGATAAATGCACCGAGAAGGACAAACCCTAACAGGTGCTCTGAAGGAGGTAGGCGGGCCGGGTGCAGGGCGAGGGCGGGCGGCGGCAGGGCAGGCACATGCGTGAGCATCGGCCGAAGGGCACTCCAGGCCCGCGGCACTGCTCGCCTGTCTGGGGAGAGGGGTGAGAGGCTCTTACGAGAGGCTTCTGAAAGGGGGCGGGGGGCCGGCTCACACTAGCCGCGAGGCCCGGGCAAAGGCCCGGAGTTTATTCCAGGGCAATGGGGAGCCACAGAGGCTTCCATGCCGGGGAGCAGCACACTCTGAGCTTCCCTGTTAGAAGATCGAGTGCATTATGGCAGACGAGCCTCTGGACCCCGCCCAGCTCGGGCTCATCAGAGCCGCCCAGAAGACCCACGCGGGGGAGCCGGCCGAGGGACCGGAGAAATAACTCCGCCCTGTCAGCATTCGCAGTCCGTCCGTCCGTCCGCACGGCCGCGATATCGACCAAGCGCCAAACATCATTTTCCAATTTGTACTGCCCAGCTGCAAACAATACAGAACCGTGTTGAGAGGAAAAGCTAAACTTCCCAGCGGCCCCCCTCCCCTCACATCTGGCCTGTTTCCTTCCTGCCGTTTCTTACACACATATGGGGATGACTCTAATACGGTGCCTTTATTTGGGAATGTTTCCCCACCAGTGTTAATTTTCTAATTTAGAAAAAAAAAAATAGCGCTTGATTTTAAGTTCTCTAAAAATGCCCCCATCACAGGGCCAGGGAATAGGGGAGACAGCAGGGGGCCCCCCAGGAACTCTTGGCCCTGATGCACCAAGCTCAGCTATGTGGTGGGCCGGCCTTGGGGGGGTTCACCCCGCCCTTGATCTCTAGGCTGCTGTGCACCCCAATATGCACACAAGGCTTGGGGTAGAGCAGGCAGGGGAGCGGGGTTGATAAGCAGAGCTGGGCACTTATCGGCCGCAGCAGGAGGCCCAGGAGGTATCTGTAGGGTGAGGTGCCCACCCAGACACCCAGACATGGGGCACGCTGGGCTGCTGCCTTGTTATTCTCGCTGTATCTAGATGGTGCTGAACCCCAGGGGGTTCCCGGTTCCGTGTTTACATTTCTGGGAGGACAAACACAAGTTGTGACTCAGCAGCCAAGTCAGGGACCTGGTTGTGGGGGATACTCTTGGCTGGCTTTCAGGGGAGGGAGGTGGCCAGAGCCCAGTCCTCAGGGAAGGGTAGCATGTGGCCTCGAGATTCAGGATTCTCGGGTCCAAATCCTGGCTCTGCCCCACGCCAGCTCTCTGGCCTTGGGCAAGCGGCTGAATCTCCGCAGCCTTGGTTTTCTCACCTGTAAACTGGGCACGGCCGACCTCCCGCAGGATGCTGAGAGTTCAGAGGAAGAACAGACATAGAGGGACCAAAGTAGTCAATACTTGTCGGTTCTCATGAGTTCTGGGTGTCTGAGGACAACCTTAGCTGCAGGGGTGGGAGACTCGAGCAGGCGTGTAGGGGTGAGTGTCTCCTTTGACTGGAGAAGCGGGGTCCTTCGTCCACGGGCAGGACCTGGGCTGGTGTCACAGGGATTAGTTAGTGTGGTTTCCTCACCTCTGTCCTCGACTGATGCCCGGCGTTCCCTCTGGGCCCTGCCTGCTGCCGACACATGAGGCCCTCATTGAGCACGGAGCCACATCATGGTGGCAGCTCTGGGCTTGTCACTTAGCACGTGTGAGTGAACGTGTTGCGGGAGCGTGTACGTGTGTATCTGGGCGTGAATATATTTGCGTATACATGTGGGCACGTGTGTGCACAAGTGTATCTCTATGTGTCTGTGTCTCTGCATGTGCGTGTGATGTGTCTCCGTGTGCAAACACATGTACTGTGAGTCTGGGTGTGTATATGCATGTGTCTGTGCCTGAGTGCATGAGGGTATGTTGTGTGTTCCTGTATACACATGGGTGTGAGTGTCCGTGTCAGCACGGAGATGCCTGTGCGTGTGTGTCTGTGTAGACACGTATCTGTGACTTTCTGTGCACCTACGACTGTGTCCCTGAGGGTGTGTATGATTCCATGTGTCTCTCTGCCTCAAGGGTACATGTCTTTGTGGGGGGGCATACACGTCTGTGTCAGTGTGTGTATCTGTCTCTAAGCGTGGGGAGAGTATCTTAATGTGTGTGCACAAACATACGCGTGTGCATGTGTGTGTGCCTGGCCCTCTGGGTGTGTGGGGCCAATGCTCGCACACGGGACCGAGGATGACAGGACCCATGCTGACGAGGAAGGAGCTGGTGGCTCCCTAGGCCTCCTCCCAGCGCCCACTTTCACGGCACTGGCTGCTAGGGATGTAGCAGAGAAGGGACAGGAAGTCCCCACGCCTGGACAGTCATGGCCCCTTTCACTGTGAGGCTCAGGGAGGTGGCCGCCTGGCTGAACTCATCCCGCTGGCCTGGGTGGGGCCCACGCCCCTCCCCTCCGCAGCAGGCCACCACCGCCTGCTGCCTCGCTTGGGGGCTGGGCAGTGGTGGCCTCGCTCCTCGGGGTCTTGGTTTCTCCATCTGTGCGATGGGGACACTTAAGAGTGTTCAGCTCGTGGGTGACGGAGACCACCTCTGACAAGTGGTTGGCCCAGGGCCTGCCTGGCTCAGCGCCACAGATGTGGCCCTGTGGTCATTATCGTCATCTATAATGGCTGTCGCCGTGACTAGGGGCTGCCTCCCGCGTGCACAGACCACGGCCCTGCTCTCCACAGAGCGAGAGTGGCTTGGGAAGCTCCCTCCTGGGTTTGCCACCAGCCAGAGCCCTCAATTCCGGGCCCCAGGAGGATGTTTTTGAGGCTTCGGGGGCTGTCCCAGAGGCTGCCACCAGCCGATAGCAATAGGAAACGGGCTGGCCACAAGTGGCCCTCCCGATAACCCTGGCAGTCCCCCAACCCCCTCCCTGCCTCCCAATCCCTTATCGGCTGTGGCAAATGTCTCATCTGAGCCAGAGCCCAGCAGAGCTCCCTGAACCTCGCCACTGTTGACAAACTAAGGCCTAGAGGGGGAGGGGTGAATGGGGCGGGGCAGGCAGGGTCCCTGGGAAGAAAAGGGGGCCCTGCCTGGCAGGATCTCACCTGCCTTGACCCGGGGAACCCTGACCCTTCCCTGGGCAGAGGCAAGGGGGCCTGGACCACAGAAAGGGAGGATTTGCAAGCCTCACAGTGACTGGGAAAGACCCCCAGCAGGCACCTTGGGGACACTGCAGTGACTCTGGTCTCTGTCCCATTTCCCAACTCAGATCTGCCCAGCGCACTCCAACCTGAATGGATGCCCCCCAAACTCCTGCCGGTGTCCTCGGCCAGAAGTCTCTGGTGCCCTCTGATGCCCGCTCCCCGCTGGCTGGATCAAGTTCAGAATGCTTGCAGGCTTGTTCCCCTGCTGTGCCTGGCACCGCCCGAGTTACAGGGGACACGTGAGTGAATTGACATCCTTTCCACGCTCACACCTCCTCTGTGAGGCCCCCATGATTTCCCCAGCACCGAGTGGCGGCTCCAGCTGAGCTCTGGGAGATGTTGGGACTACACCCAGGTGGGGCCTCCCAGCCCCAGACAAGACCTGGCTTCCTAACTCTGTGACCTCGTGCCCCGCCTGGCAGCCAGCACCCCGAGGGCAGCTGCACAGCCCCCTCTCGGCAGCCCTTACTCGGGTTCTTCTAGCAGCACCCTCCTTCCCCCTGGGGAGTGGCCCCTCCTTCCAGAGGGCTCCGGTGGAGCTGCCAATCGTGATGCCAAGACCCGCCCCCAGCCACTGCTCCTGGGGCCCTGCTCTGAGCACAGCACCTACACTGAGCCAGTCGGCCCTCCCCGGGGATTTTAAGCAGATGGCCGAGAGGAAACACCCAGGGGCAAGGGCGTCAGCTCCGTCCCGACTTCAGTGGGTGGTGATGGGGGTGGGGCTGTGTCCACCCACACTCTGGATGCCCACATGCCAGCGGAGGCAGGCGCACGATGAACAGCTGTCAATCAAAATCCTGGCCAGGAGGGTCGGTGGTGTGAGTGACACCGTGTGGCCTTCACTTGCCCATGACCACTGTGGGAAGCCAAAGGCGCCCACCTCGAGAAAAATTAGACCGACTTTTTCTTTAAAGAAAACAAGTTTTATTTTTATAATCGGAACATTCTAATAAAAATATTTTAATATTGGCTACCTTTATTTTCTGGGCCTTGACTCTGTGCCAGGCCACAAAGCGCTTGCCTGCATCGGTCAGCCCCGAGGCCTCCCACTTCCCTGAGGTAGGTCCGAAGGAAACCCCCAGTGCCCCTCAACCCTCCAACCCAGCCTCCCCGAGTCCCCTGCCAGGCTGCCACGCTCATCCCACCATCCCTGCCTCCTCCCGGGCAGGGCAAGGGCATCCTGCTGACTCCCCAGCGCCCCTCCAGAAGCCCTATCACGCGTTGGAAGTCTCACCTCCCCGCCTCAACTGAGCCCCCAAGGAAGGTCGGTAAGACACGTCTCAGGCTGGTCTCGTAGCTCAGGCTGGTGTCCCGCAGGTGACACGGAAAGAGGGTGGGGCCGCAAGCTGGCTGGGGACGCTGTGGCCCAGCCCCTTGGCCAGCATCACCTAGGCTCCCACTCCCTCTGCCTCGTGCAGTGGTGGCAGGGGTGGGGTGAGGGTGGGCAGGGGACAAGCTTCGGAGCCAACTTCCTGTCACTGAGAGGGCCCTGTCTGGAGACGCCCCCCTTCGGGGGTCCTGGCGCCCTAGTGGCAGACGCCTTATCAAACAGAAAGACTGTCCCCGACTCCTTGGGCGGAGCCATCGACAAAAGTGTCTCAAAGTCAAAAACAGGTTCTAGATTCTTGGCGGCAGGAGCCTCCGTTGAAAAAATAGACTGAAATTCTGAATCGCTTGGTAGCAAAACAATAACAATGAGAAAAAGAGGTGCAGTGCTCCGACGACGAGGAGGCGGCCGTGCGGGGGGGCCCTGCGGTGTCGGGGTCCCCTCGGGTCTCGTGGAGGCCGCCCCGTGCCGTCGCCGGGGAGCGAGAGTTCCGCGAGGCGGTGCTCCCACACAGCTTCTCCCGCGTTCACAGCTTGTGCGGATGGAGTGACAATAAATAGTCAGTTCACGTTGCTCTCAGGTTTCCCTGGAGTAAGGCATCTCTGAGCGGGACAGTTTCTGCACGGCCCGAAGTGGGCCGGGTCTGCGGAGGGCGGGGACGGGCCCGCCTGATTCGGGGGTGCGGTGGCGGGGGGAGGCAGGCGGTGTGAGCGAGGAGGCCTGGCTGCATCTGCCACAGCTCTCGGTCACTCTTTTCTAAGTCCTCCCTTGAGACGTGGCGGGTTCTGGATTTAAACGGAAGCAGTCTCTGGGCCGTCCGGGGTGCAGGCCGGGGTCCCACGGGGCCCCCAGAGGCACAGGTGCTGGCTGGTGTGCACCCCGAGCTCACGGGCCACCTGCCTGGCGGGGGGGCGTGGCCGGCCCGGGCCCGGGGCGCGGCCTCACTGCAT